CTCAGCTACAGTATGAGAGGTAGAGTCCAGAGGGAAGTCAGTCAAAATGAAGAGAAACAGCTGCAGCGTCCTGTAACCATTAGAACAAGGAATGGAAAGGAAGAGGGTCAGCGAAAGAGAGGAAGGTCTCAGCCAGATGGATTGGCACAGTGACTGCAGCAATGGGCTCACGTGTGACAGGATGAGGATGGCCCAGGACAGGACAGGGTTCAGACCTGTTGTTCACAGGGTCCCTCTGAGTCGCACTCAACTTGATTGCAACTAACAACAAGAAAGGATGATCTGTTCCGTGGTCGGCACGTGGCCTGCTGTTTAGCTTCTCTAACAGTTTTTTCCACAGATGCAGTCAGTCTGAGGTCCGCGGGGATAGCTGTCATTTGTAGTTTTTAGAAAAGGTATTTACAATGAATAAATCATTGATCAAAATGCAAACATTCAGTCTCCTGACTGCCCAAAATCCAATTTAATTTTTTATTTACTCATTATTTATAAATAAAATAGCAACTAATAAAAATTTTCCCTTTCTTTTCCTAATTGCATGTAACTTCAGCAATGATGTATTTCAGGAACTACTGAACACTTTAAGAACATGGTTTGCAAAGAATAATATATAGTTGCTTCTAACACATTTTGGTTAACATATTGTATAAACTGTAGTCAATCCTTGAAACATCTTAACCACTTTTGTCATTCATGGAAGTTTAAAACTTCATACAGATATTGGCAACTGTTGACACTTAACTTCCTTTACGTAAAGTGAAGTATTCCTAGGCATATAGCCACTGGAAAAATTTTAAATGCCCGTGTTCACACATAAGTTTGGGTCACATTCAGTATTTAGTACATGTTGTTGTTTTGTTGTTGTTATGTGCCATCAAGTCACCTGCAACTCACAGTGACCCTATGTACAACAGCTCTGAACCCTGCTTTATCCTGCACCAACCTTATTGTCTCTGACACACCTACCCTCATTACCCCAGTCACTGAGTCAATCCATCTCATCAAGGGTCTCCCTCTCCTGCATTGTCCCTCCACCCTCCCAAACATGACATCCTTCTCCAAGAACTGGTCCCTCCTTGCATCATGTCCAAAGTACATCAGATGCAGCTACAGAACCCTTGCCTCCAAGGAGCCTGGCTTCACGCTCTCCAGGATGAACTTGTTTATTCTCTTACCAGTCCATGGCATATTCAACACTCTTTCTCCAGCACCGTACTCAAACACATCAATTCTTCTATCATCTCTTGCCATTGAGGGAGCTCTGGTAGCCTAGTGGCAAGAAGCTGTGCTGCAATCCTGAAGACACACAGTTTGAATCCACCAGATGCTCTACTGGATGAGGGGCAATCTCCTCCTCGGCCATTAGGATTCAACTTAATGGTACACAGCAAGAAACAAACATCTCTAATCATTGTCCAGTTTTCTGATGCATAGCACATAATTATGAAGACCATGGCCTAGATCAGGTACACCTTAGTCTCCGACTGACATCACTGCTCTTCAGTACTCTGGAGGGGTCCCTGACAGCAGACTTTCCCAATGCAATTCATCTTTTGATTTCCTGGTTGCTGGTGCCAAGAGTGTTGATTGTGGAGCCAAGCAAACCTCAGCTGTTAACAATCTCAATCTCTTCACCCGCTATCATGATGCTGCCAATCGGCCCAGTGGTGAGAATCTTTGTTTTCTTGATATTGAACTTCAATCCATATTGAAGGTTGCAGTCCTTGACCTTGTGCAGCAAGTGCTTCAGGTCCTCCTCAGTTTCAGCAAGCAGGGTTGTGTCATCTGCATAACACAGATTGTTGATAAGTCTTCCTCTAATTCTGATACCACACTCCTCCTTACAGAGCCCCATCTCCTGGACATGACCAAGTAAATGAATAAATAGTGAAAAGCAAAGTTAAAGAACCAATACATCTTCAGAAAGCTTCTAACATTTATTTATTCTTGACAAACAATTGGGGAAAAGTCATCCAGAGAACCTGATAAAGATGGCATAAGTTTTTAGAAGACAGTGCAGTCGTGGTAACGTAACAGTCTGTGACGATCTCTGTTGTTGATGTTTAGTGTGTCTGGCTCACGGTGACCCGTGTGACACAGCAGAGCTGCCTCTAGGCTTCTCTAGGTTGTTACTCTTTATAAGGACAGAATCTCCTGGTTAGTGGGCACGGTCACTGGGATCTTTCCATTTCTCTTTATGGTCTTTTAGTGGAAAGTCTTGAAACCAAAGCATTAGTCATTGTAAAAGTCAACCAGAAAAATAAACATTCAAATGGTATGTCACGACTTGGAAAAAACTGGTGATCACCTACAAATACCCACAAGCCAGAGCCTGAGAAATTAAATCCCCCAAGTGTTTTTAAAAATTTTGTCAGACATGAGAAGTTTTGAAGTGTTTCTGTGAGACAGTTATGCTCATCTTCCCATAGAGTTGTTTTTGTTTAAGACAAAACAACCCTTGTGTCCATCTGTTCAGGTTTATCAGTGAAACGTTCAAGAAACCATTTGTAGGCTAGGAGAGGTCTGTCACAACGCTACTTCTGAAAGGCTTATTCTTGCAAATGTTGACAATGTCAGCGTCATTAAATGATGTAGAAATCATGAGAATCAGCACTTGATTCCTGGCTCCCTCGGTGTGCAGCGTTGCTCCTGCATGGCACCCAGTGGCTCCTTGGGACAGGCCAGCCCCTCGTCCAGCTTTTCTTCTCCATGTCTTCGCTGTGGCTTTTCCAGCACCACAGCTTAAAGAAATCAGTTCTTCTTCAGCCACCCTTAGTCATTTCCCAGCTCTCGGATGCATAGCAAGCAATTGAGAAGACCATGGCTTGGATCAGGTACACCTGAGTCTCTAGGCTGATACTGTTGCTCTTTAGCGCTTTGGAGGGGTCCTTGACAGCAGATTTGACAGCAAAAGTTGGTAGAAACCCTCCATTGCCTCATCTTTGGCTTTCATTGTTGGTGCATGTACTTGAATAACGTAACAGATCTTCCTTGTGTGCGTGAATGGCACCCTATCCCTCGCAGCACTGCACTTCCGAGTGGGTCCTGAAATGGAATTTTTTACTCCGGATGCAATGCCATTCTTCCTCAATTTTTCACTTCTGGCATTAACAGATCATAAGCTCTCTCGTGAAAACGATACTAAGAAGCTGTTGTCTGAACACCATTGTCTGAAGCTGTTCTACAAGGGAACACTGTGGGATTTAAAAATCCAGAAAGGTGTGGTGTTTGTTAGCATTGTATCCTTTCTCCATATCTATTCAATCTGTTTGCTGAACAAGTCATACAAGAAGCCGGATTGGAGGAAGACTCATCAACAACCTGTGTTATGCAGATAACACAACCTTACTTGCTGAGATTGAGAAGGACCTGAAGTCCTTCTCTAAGGACTTTGAAGACCAAAGACAGCAACCTTACCTATGGATTACATTTCAACATGAAGAAAATTAAAACCCTTACCACTGGGCCAACAGGCAACCTCATTATAGACGGAGGCAAAAATGGAAACTGCCGACAATTTTTTCTTAGTTGGCTCCAAAAGCAACACTCTTAGTACCAGCAATCAAGAAATTAAAAGACATTATCATATTGGGGAACTCAGCTGCCAAGGACCTCTCCAAAGTGTTGAAAACCAAGGACACCAGATGAAAGACTAAAGTGTGCTTGATCTGGGCCATGATATTCAGTTACTTACTATGCATCTGACAGTTGGACAAGGATGTCAGAAGAAGGATGGTTGGTTTGTGGTGCTGGAGAAGAGTTACTGAATATCCCATGGACTACCAAAAGAACAAATAAGTATGTCTTAGAGAACATGCAACCAGGGTGCTCCCTTGGGAGCAAGGATGGTGAAACTCCATCTCACATACTTTGGGCCTGTTGGTAGGAGTGACCAGTTCCTGGAGAACGACATTATGTGGGGAAAGGAAGAGCCTTAACAAAATAGATTGACATGGTGACTGTACAATGGGCTCAAATACATGGAAAATGGTGGAGGACACAGGATAGAGCCAGGTTCTGATCTGTTCTTAACAGGGTCACTGTTAATCACCCTGGACTCCGGAACCCCAGGGAGGGGAGGGGGGAAACCATCCGAGTGACCCATGGGGTTTTAGCCTAAGCGGATAACTACATAGTGGAATTGCTCTTTTTTTTTTTTTAATTGCTCTTTACAACTCTCCTTAAAGCTATGCTGTTGGGTGTCCCATAGGATTTTGTGTCAGACATAATCTCTAAAATGCCCTGGATGGTAGTTTGTAACTTTTCAGGGTTCTAATCGTCATCGGCAATTCAAATCGACCAATAATCGACCAACCTTGGAAACACGATAGAAGGTTACCTGAGTTGCAATTGACAGTCGAGTGTCTGTGCTTTTTCATCTCTACGGGAACAGACTGCCAGGCCTTTCCTCCGCAGCAACCCAGTATTTAAGCGCTTTACCACCAGGGCTCCTTCTTTGCAGGTACTGAGTATATGTGGAGCTCTACATAATAATCAGAAGCTGGCTGAGCTGGCTGCAGGAGCCCGGGGGCGTGGTCCCAGTGCTAACCCCCGGTCGCCATGCCCCGAGGGATGAAGGTGAGCGCTCTACCCCTGCACGTCACATCCTGAGACCGCTGCCCCGGAACGACTTGATGGCAGCCTATGTAGCAGGAGGGACAGTAGAGGCAGAACACCGGGTGGAGTGGCGGAAAAGACTGGGGCGTGGGCGGAACCCGAAGCCAGCTGTAAACCAATGAACTGCGTGCCTCACTTGGCGCGCAGGCGCAGAAGGCCCGAATGGCGCACAGCGCAGCCGCCGGCCGGAAAGGGAGGGGCCTGGAGGGGGCGGGGTTTCCACAAAGCTAAAGAAGGGCGTGGTCTGGGTTGGTGAGTGGGCGTGCCCTAACATGGAGGGGCGTGGCTTGACGCTGGGTTCCGAAGGCCTACGGGGCGGGAGACCGCGAGTGGACACTCTGACCCCTTGTCCAGCCGGCCACCTAAGGTGCCACTGAGCCAGCATGGGTCGGAAGGTGACCGTGGCCACCTGCGCGCTCAACCAGTGGGCCCTGGACTTCGAGGGCAATTTGCAAAGAATTTTAAAGAGTGAGTGTGAGCACAGCGCCCACCCTGCCCTGCAGCCTGGGGAGCCGGGCGGGGACGGATGCGATCTGGGCAGCGCAGCGACGGCCACACCGGTGTCCAGCGTCCTTGGCCCCACGTGGCACAGCTGGCGCCCAGCAGCCTTCCTGGGGAAGGGGGTGCAAGCAGCCGGGCGGGCCGCAGTGGCCAGGGGTTTGCTGGAGAAACCTGGTGGGCAGCCTGTGGCCCCTGGGGACGTTTCTGATGGGTGGACACTGGGGAAAGGTGACCCACGGAGGGAAAGTGGGGTGGCGTGGGCGCTGTGGGTGACAGACTGCCGTTGGGAGTGCAAGGTGCCCGATACACACCTGCAGGCGTGCCAGCCTGGTTCCTGCAAGGAGCTGGTGGAGCAGACAGAATTTGAACACAGGCATCTGATCGGGCGCATTCTTCCAACCTTTGTCCTTCCGCCTTTGCTTTTTTAAAATGAGCTGACGTTCATTTCGTCAGAGCCAGAGCAGCCTGGGTGATGGGAGGCGGGGCTGGAGCGGGCCAGCTGATGCCCAGATAGTCCCACCCTCCACCTGCGCGCCAGTCCCTGCAGGCTCGTGCTGACTATAGCAGGCGGCGCTGACCAACCACGAGGGGAGCCCTTCCTCCTCCCCTGGGTGCTAAGGGTCGTCCTAGAGGCCAGACCCTGTATCTTGACTTGAGCTCCTTCACATCTCCTTGTTTTCCATTTGTTCTGGCTTTTCAATGCTCCAGTGATTCCCCGCCACCTCTTTCTCCTCCGTTTTTGTAATGATCTTTTGCTTTCTTCATGGATGATATAACATCCCACGATTTATCTCATCTTCGATCATTGGTATTCAGTGTCTCAAACCTATTCTTAAAATGATCTTGAAATTCAGATGGATTTGATTCAAGATCATATTTTGGTTCCTATGGACTTATTTTCTGGGATTCCCATTCTTCTCAGAGTCAGCCACAGTTTGTTATGATCCACACAGTCAAATGCCTTTGCATAATCAATGAAACACAGACATTCT